AGTGTTTTGTTTGTTGTGCAAAGAGCGTAGTAGTTTATTTGGGATGTGAAAACAGTAAACAATATTATGGATTAACTAACAATTTGAGCTGTTTGCTTGATGAGCAGTAACGAGATAAGTAGCTAAATAAGAAATGATTTCAGGATAATGGTCATCCTTGCCCTTCAGACGATGCGCCATCAGTAAGTGTGATGCCCGAGCAATTCGTTGATATGCTCTTATTCCTCTGACATGGGCCACTTCGGTTAGACGAGCGATTTGAATCGATTCTCAGCATACATTTGCTTTTAGTCATTATTTCTCTTGCCGTTTGCAATTATTTAAGAGTGAATCAGGCAGTTAATTACTCGAAGATCACAAATGGCTTCGTTTCTTCATCGTTCATCATTTAATATCTCAGTTCAGTTGCAAACATCAGAAAATTCGCTCTATCGTTTCCTCTCCTTTGGATATCTATCGCTTGGCTTATCGAAAATTCTTCGTTGATTTAAAATTGATCCAATTTCTTTCAAGAACACAATCAAAACTGTATCAGCAAGACTGAAGTGTTTTTATTCCGCAACAATGATAAAGTCAGGAGATTAGTTATTGGAAGAAATGAAAAGAGTTTATTTCTAACCCCCCATCCCTCCCCAAAAAAAATGTGGTAATCATTTTTCGTTCAGCTCAGTTATGTACCTTCTACACACTAGTATATGTTTGTATTATCATCTATCTATAGTGTCGTCGTTATTCAGTGAATCAGCGTATGTTCAAATGCATTTTCTAAGCGATGTTCCCAGTATTGGATTGATATTACCTCCAATTGATGCAGCTTTTTTTGTCAGAATTTTTTGTTGACGTCTATTGCATTGTAATTCATTCGTTTTGATCGTTTTTTGCGCTCAAATTATTTCGTATTTTCTGTTGTGCAAATATAAGATATTATTTTGTAAATATGCCCTCAACATGTAAATGACCCATCATTAATGCTGCTATTATTCAGTGCAAAATTTGTGCTTAACTCTATTAATCAGTGTCGTGCTATAATGGTAGTATTTTTAATTACGATACAATATGTTCTGCCATATTTTTATGGTTTTCAAATTTGCATTTTTGTTGCTTACAAATTTTGTTTGTGAAGGAATATTGAATGCTTGCTTCACTGTTGAATGATTTATGGGAGTTTGCTATAATCTAATCAAGATAACTGTAATGAGAATATTATGGTTGAATTTGTTAATAGATTATTAAACGTGTGATAATTTCTTGAAAAATAAAAGCAAAAATAGAGTGAAAGTTTGATTCGTATGCATTTTAATTCAGTT